GGCCGGTCCCGGCCGGGGCCCGCGGCCGCTCTCACGGGCTCTCTCCGCAGCGCATGACGGACAAGTGCTTTCGGAAGTGCATCGGGAAGCCCGGTGGGGCGCTGGACAACTCGGAGCAGGTGAGCGCGGTTGGGTTGGGGAGAAGCGGGACCCTCCGGGGCGACCGCTGAGGACTCTCTGTCGCGCAGAAGTGCATCGCCATGTGCATGGACCGGTACATGGACTCCTGGAACACGGTGTCCCGAGCCTACAACTCTCGGCTGCAGCGGGAGAGAGCCAACATGTGAAGCGCCCCGGCTCCTGGACGAGGGAGGGACCATGTGGGGAAGGGACGAGTGGCCAGTCCAGGAGGTTGGGGGTGAAATCCTGCTGCCTTTCCAGCCCCTGCCATGGCAGAGCAATAAACCCTCGCTGAACCTTTTGCATCCATTGGCTTTTATTAGCACCAGCCCCAGGAGCGAGTGAATTTGCCAGCCTCGAGAGCCACTGGGAGCTGCGTGATTTGCCTCATGCCCTTCCCAGCAGTCCAGACTGGCCAAGGCATATAGCAGCAGATAAATCCCTGCTGAAAGGCCGCGAGAGGCGAGGAGCCTTCTGTGGAAAACGGGGGGCGCCAAGCCAGCCCCTTGGCCAGGAAGCAAGCATGGACCCAGCCATCAGGTGGTTACCCGGTCGCAGTGGAAAAGCTGCTCTAAGATGCCCCACTTGGCTCTTTCTCTTGTTGCTGAACGCGGGGCTCATTTCTGGGTTCATAGGCTTTGACCCAGCTGAAGCAGCGTGTTGGGGAGCAGGGGTGCTCTTACTAGGTTTGCAGCCTTGCAAATACTTGTACAAGCACAGCTGGGGATGGAAAGGGTTGGGAATTAGGGTGATTTCTTTATGGAATAAAACGTGTTGTGTGGCTGGTGATAGTCTGGTTTGGCTCTGGCATAGACATTCCATCTTGAAGCCTACCTTCTAGGCATCGTCATTTTGAGGGAGGAGCACTTCTGCAGCAGAGGACTTGGGTCTGCTTTGGGGCTGAGCTCTGTATTATTCTCGCCTTACACACCTCTCCTGGACAGGGTGGGTTGTGCTGTGTAGCCAGCAGTGTGCACAGCAGCTGGGAGAGGAGAGTGGTGGAGATTCAAAGTGCCCATGCCCCTGTAGGGAGATTTTTGAAATCCTTTCTTTTGAAGCTCCCTCTGTGTTTTATAAACTATTTCACTGTTTGCTGGGACAGGGAGACAAGACTGGAAAGATGATGTCTGCTAGGACATTCAAAGGGATGTGGGAGAGTCTGGTTTCACTTAATCTCACACTGTGATAGGTTCTATGAAGGGACTAAAGTGTTCTCACACAAGGTAAATTATTAGGAGATAACTGGATATTTGGACTAATTGAAACTGGAGTTTCCCATCCAGATTGGGCAGAATCACTACCTGAAAATAAAGTGCTTTCCAGCCACATTTGCTATGGGGCCTTTTTACTTTCCTTTATGGCTGTATGAATTTTGTGCTGGCTGTGCAGCAATCCCATTTCACTGATGGGAGCATCCCCCAAGTGTTCCAGCCATGGATCTGAACCCATCTTAAGCTGAGCCATGCCTGGAAGCCGGGTCTGCCACCTTGCTAGTGCTCTAGCCGGGGAAGTGGTGGATCTCATCGCCAGCTGGGGAGGGAAAGAAGAAACCTCCTGCTGTACCCAAATGCAGAGCTTCAGTGTGAAAGACCAGGAAGGGCTTTGGGGTACTGGCTGCTGTTCAGTTTTGGTGGTTGAATCTGTGAGGACACGTCTAAGACTTGACGCACGAGCTCTGCAGTTTTTTCTTGTGAACGAAGATGTTTCTGTGTCTTACGCTGGCTGACTTCCCACCGAAGGAGTTGTATCCTTGGGCCACTATCTCAGCACTCTGAATTTATCCCGGAACAGTGATCTGTGTGGCTATATCTCAGTCTTTGTGGATTTAATCACCTGTTCCCTGATGCAAAAGGAGCTGGGGGGGTGTGTGGGGGTGTGTGAGAAGCCTGTCCTGATTCTCTCATACAGATGAGGGCCTGTGCGGTCTTAAGTCCAAGTTCTGCCTTATGATCAAATGGTGAGCCAAGGGATCATCACTGAGCTTCCTACTACCAGTCATCGAGTGGAAACACTAGCGTACCCTTTCCACAAGCCCCTGCGCAACCTAACAGCTCCATCAAGGCAGTGGGGGCTGAGGCTTCTGCAGGGGCTAACTCTGGGCTGGGACAAAGTTCACTTGTCTCTTGGCTTGGCTTTGGGATGACAGCTCACAGACAGAGGTCAGCCAGACTAGATGAATCTGGCAGATGTTTCAGGCGCCCCTCCAACTAGAAAGGCCGTGTTTTAATGCACAAGATGTTTGGCCAGGTCTTAAGATGGGACAGGCCTCATTTATTTATAGAAAATGTCTAGAATTGTACCTTTCTATGCAAAGCAGTTACCAAATGCCCTGGTGTCACAACTGCAGTGGGTCACACAACACTGGCATCTGCTTAATACCTGCAGGCCATCTTCACCCCTTTGCAGCACCCCAAAAAAAAAAGTACAGTAGCTGAGGGGTTAGTGCATCCTCTAGCGATTACTCCTCTCGTCCGTCGCCTTCCCTGAGTGATGAAATGCAGCTTCAGAGCTTGAGGTTCTGCGCAATCCAGCCCTGGACAGCTGTGACTTTGGTGTAGACACCAGGGAAGTATGGCCTGGCACAGCCATAGCCCCAGCTTGTGATTCCTGCTAGAAACCACTTCCCTGAGGGTTCTTTACATGCCAGGGGCCCGCCTGCATCGCCCTGCAGAGAGAGGAGAAGGGTCCCGTGTCAAGCGGAAGAGGCAGCCCAGCCCCCCCAGCTGTGAGTTGTTATTTTTCTCTGGGACACAGAGGCAGTTCCCATCCTGCTCCCCACCTCCCCAGGAGCCTGCTTCCAAGCTGGCTAGCTGCTCGATGATGTATTTGCATGCAGTTGAAGTTGGGATTCTGGAAGATGTCGGAGCGTGTTCAGAGGCACAACAGGGTCATGGAACAGGCTCCGTGGTGTCCCTGTGGTCTCCTGCTCAGCGTTACCTCTGTGTGTCCCCCTGGCCTGTCGTGGGCTGGTGCAGGCACAAGGGCCTCAGACAATGGCAAGAGCCCGTGGGGATGGAGGGACGGGGGGCTGAGCTGGGGGAGGCAGGGCAAGGCCCTCCCGAGAGAATATAACCCGGGGACTTCGCACAGGTTTGCTGTGACCCAGCCGCAGCGTTCGCTGCTCTCACACTCACTGAACAACTGTCGACGGTGCCCTGTGGGAAGCCAGCGCACACCATCCTGCTGCTGATCTGGACAGGGTAGAACTTTTTGCAGGCTTGGTCTCCAATCACGTTCACCGCTGCTTTCTGCAAATGCTTTGACATGAGACCTGAGGAGGCAAGTGTCTCGGTTAGCTGGGGGCAGAGCCCAGGAGAAGCAGCAGCAGGTAGGAGCGGGGTCTCTGCGGCCTTGCTCGCCAAAGGGAGAGACCTGCACGGGGAAAGTGAAACGGGCCCGGGTCCCCCCCAGCAGAGCGAGCTCAAACGGGTCCCCTTGGTGTGTGGTTTGTCGGGTGTCTCGGCTGACCGGACAGAAACGGTATCGGGGTGGTCCCTGTACAGCCGGAGCAGCTGCGGCAGGGATGGCGAGCACGGTGGCTGGGGCAGAAAGCCTGGGAAGGCTGCAGGAGGGCGGAGGTGTCACGGATGGAGGAGCACCGTGCTGGGGAGGAGACCGGGGTGGCACCAGGCCTTGCCCGCGATCGTATCCCCTGCAGGGTCCAGCCTGGCGTGGGGAGCACCGGGGGCAGCGGAGTGGAAATGGCAGATGTCTGGTCTCGCGGGGTGGGTGGCATGGCAGCGTGGGTGTGGGGGAGCCCTCAGGCGGGGCGGTACCTCCTTCCTTGGTGGAGCCCCAGCCTGTGATGAAGCATCTGGCTCCTTCATGGAAGATGTGGGAATTGTCTGGGAGACATATAGGTTTGATGGTGTTGCTGAACGTGATGGGCGTGCTCAGCTCGAGCAGTGCCACGTCGTAGTCCAGGCTGTAGACGTTGTAAAAAGGGTGCTTGTAGATACGGAATATTTTCTCCATTTTGCCATCGATGCCACTCAGGAGGGGTGTTCCTAGAAAGGCCACCCACATTCTGGGGTCGCTGTAGCTGCAGAAAGACAGCAGAGCTGGATGTTAGGAGCGTGGCTACGCGAGGAGGGCTGCTCCTCTGCTCGCGGGGCTGGTGAGGCCAGGACCCCCCTCTCCATCCCACTGCGGACACGCCCCGGCTTTGCTCCACTCGCTCCTCTTCGCGCTCACCTGAAGGGGCACATCTGTGACGGGGAGCGCGTGCCTCCAGCCGTGGGGAAGGGAGGGTGTGCTGACAGGAGTGAGGCCGAGAGCCAGCTGGCTTCGCTCCCGTCTCAGACTTACATATCAAAGCAGTGGGCTGCAGAGAGCAGCCACCGGTCGGCGATGAGGACAGCCCCACACTTGTGCTCCTTCCGCCGAAGCCAGAGGCTGACTTGCCAGGGCCATTCTCCTCGAGCCGCGGTGCTGCCGCCCACGATCTTGCTGAAGGCCAGAGCACTCGTTGAGCCGCAGTCTGGGACGGAAGAAGAGGCACCGTGATTTTAAGTAGCCATAAATGAAAGGGCTGTCACCCGCTCTCCTCCCGCAGCCCACGCCACGGGGCAGCCTTCTGGGAGGACACACACGGGGCACTAGGAAATGGTTCTGATGTGTCAACGTGTAGTTGAGAACAGTCAGTGTGAGGTTAATGGTTGGACTTTTCTAACCATTGATTCTGTTTATAGCACAGAAGAGGCCACATTTTCTAGCAGAAAATTTGGTCCCTGCTCATCCAGGTTTACCTTGTTACAGGCTCTGTCAGACCAGGTAGGACCTGGACCACAAAGGGCTGGCCCAGGCCCCCAGTGCACAGCACGAGGCCCCAGACAGCCCATGGGAAGCTGGTGGGTTGCACTGGGGGGTCTGGGCAGTGCAGAGTAAGGCTGGGGAGGGCTGCAGCGCAGGGACTACTCACCACAGTTCTGCTCATCAAAGCCATTGCTGCAGTCGACAACACCATCACATTCAGGATTTTCTTTTCCAATACAGATCTTGCTGGAACACTTAAAGGTGAAGCTGGTACAAGGCACCACTGGAAGGCAACAGATAACCCATGGCCTGCTCAGTACCCTCTGCGCTGGGGCTGGAGGCCTCCTACCAACGTGTCAATAGATCTGTGGTTAATTTTACCTGGGGTTTGGGTGGGCTTGGCAGGCTCAGTGGTATTCAGAGCTGGGGAGGTTTCTTTCATGTCTGTGGTTGTCTTCATGGCCAGAGTGGTTCTGCTGACTGGGCTCGCAGCTGCTGTGCTGGGCTGGCGGGTGAGGACGGCTGCAGGAGTCCCAGCGATGGCTGAACT